TTATTATTATTATAAGGAGGAACGCTGCATCGCAGCCGTTTCGAACCAAAACCAGTCGACTCAGCGTCCAAAAGAGTACAACATATGGGCCAATCGCGGTCATAGGTTCTTTTATTATTATTATTATTATTATACGCATTCCCGCGTTGAAGTGTAGCAGCAGTATGCTGCGTCCACAGCTTCGCTTATGCAGAATGGCTTGGGTGAGAGGAGAGGGGAGAGAAAGCAACAAGGCAACCAACATCTATGAAATTGGTCACAATAACATGAAGAGAACCAACCTACATATGCATGATTGCACAAGAATGGAGACGACAAAATATAATGGCTATAATCATTGTGCCACAAAACCGGTACACAGGAGATCTGTCGACAATGTAACGAAACATAAAACTCAGTTGTTGTTGTTGTTGTTGTTGTTGTTGTTGTTGTTGTTGTTGTTGTTGTTGTTGTTGTTGTTGTTGTTGTTGTTGTTGTTGTTGTTGTTGTTGTTGCTGCTGCTGCTGCTGCTGCTACAGCAGCTACTGCTGTGGCTGTAGTTACAGCCCCTCTCGTTGTCAGGAAATGTTTGCTTGTGCTACTTCTCATCCAGTTGACTTCTTATTATGACTTTGTATGTTATAATTTTCTTGAGCTCCGGTTTTCCCCTTCATTATAACTCAAGCGCAGTTTTGCGTGTATTGGCTTGTGATTTCCTTTCTTCTGTTTGCTTGGCATTTTATCGCTCCACAGGTACCCTCGGTCTCAGGTGCTCTCACATTTGTGCAATTGTTGATTTTGCTCCTGAAGTGTCCTCCCTGTTGCTTTGCTACCATCCTCCTCCTTCCTCCACCTTTTTTTTCTTAATTGGCCTCATTATGGCATTCGCTTCCATGTAATTGGGCTTGTAGCCCGTGTGTACTTGCGAATTCAAATAAAAATATACATACATAGTTACTCAATACAGGTTCCACTAAATAATTACAAGAGAACAACGCTACAACGTTTGAATTGCTGCTAAATTATCGCAAGTGTAGAGAACGAGTCCAATACAAATGAAAACCATGAACAGACTGTCCCGAAGTTATTTTGGGAACAAATTGTACTACATGTACTTACTGACACTGACGCTGACGGAACACGAATTTTAGTTGAATACTCACGAAGTCTTGTACATCATTATGCGCCGGTGTTGTGGAGTAAGCAGGTACGTCAGTCACCAATCCAGCTTCAGCTCCACGCTCGCTTCAGCAGAATGTTGCCCGCGTTTGCTTTGCCTCCACACGGATAGACGACCAGCGCAGAGTCCCGCAGCTCCGTGGCCGTAAGGTCTTGATTGACTATACCCTAGCAAACAACGGTAACGCTATTTTTTTACGGTACTCGTACCTTGATCACCCAAATAGCGTTGAAGCTGCAGCGTATAAACGTTATGGGGGCTGATTTATCGTTGTGACCAACGGTACGTGTTTTGGCCAGGGAGTCGTAAAATTTAGGACTCCCTGGTTTTGGCCAAATATTGCATAGTCCGTACGCATTTCACCTTGTATCGCGTATATGGTGACAAAAATGGTTGTACCGCGCGAAATCAAAGCTACTCTCGTGGCAATAGCGTACTAAAAATAGCGTGCATCTTGCTAAAGGTCGAACCCAAATCACGGTATTTTCCCCCTTACGACCGTTACAACATACAACAGTGCTCACACTGCGACCAAAACCAGCGTCCATGCGGCCATGCGGCCAAGTTGCATGGCAACGGCATGAACTTGACCAAAACGTCGCGGCCACGTTTCAAATCGTGACCGCGACCTCCGGAGGGGGGTGCCACGACTTGGCGGCAACATGATCGTAGACGTGAAGCGTATTTGTGTACAACCTGGTCTGAAGTATGTTCAATTTCTCAAATTCCGGTGTGTTGATTCATGAAAATCGGCGGTTAACCGGTTGTCGATGTCACCTCCACATTTGCACATTTTTAAAATTGTTGTAGTTGTGGTCCTGCACGCACGCACCGCCATTCTTTGCCCTTTTTGGACGATGTCGATTTTGTTTTTGTTTTTGTAGTTGCTTCGTTGTGATCGGGTCAGTGACCAATTTCTACAGTGTACTCGTTCAATACGATGGCAGCTTGGTCTGGCTTTTCGGTTTCGGAAATCATCTTTCTCTACTTTTCTGCGATGATGGAATGCCATACCTCAAGACATTTCAGTTACATATCATCGTAAAATACAGTTCTCATCTCGGCAACAGACGAAAGAAACCACTACCGGAATTTCCACTGCACTGGCACTTGCTCTGACCACGAGGTCAGGAAAGCGAAAGCGAAAGCGCTTGGATGTCAGCGGCATGGCAGTCCCTCAAGAGTCCAAACCTACCTTGTTCGGCTGTACGTCATGCCGGGAGCAGTAGGCAATTTTATACGTCGGATGACTTCCCCTACCCATGCTGGTCGTGGGAGGGACCAGTCATCCGCAAGTAGTGTATCTAGCGCCTTCCCTATCAAAATAATAAATTCTACTACTACTACTACTACCTGATTGTATGAACTATTTTCGTCGACTTCAAGAATACGAGTAGAGCCACGAGGCACTTCCTCCAACATGCGCATATATGCAACATGTGAAAAATTACATCCAAAACGGGCCACAACTTTATTAGGAAACGCACGAACTCTTTTGGATACGAACTGCAAATCGTAAAGTTTGTGTGACAACTTCACGTCTACGCGTTGTAGCAAGAGTAGATAAACAAGAGTGTGCAACTCCGCATGGGTTGGCCCACGGCGGAATTTTTTGTTGACGTAATCTTTTCGACGACGCACGCGCTGCGAGCCTTTTGGAGAGTTTTCCCTCGTGCACTTGGCTGGGCTTTACACTGCAAGGTCGGTGCCCAGCACGTGCTCTCACACTGCTCTGCGGCAAAGCCGCGTTTCTCTGAAAAAAGGTGACGTAAACAAAAAATTCCGCCGTGGGCGCGGGGTATCTGCAGATTGTGCAGGAGAGATCCGGAGTTGCACACTCTTGTTTATCTACTCTTGGTTGTAGCGACCTGACTCACTCAATTACGTCATTCTACAAACGCATGCGCAAGAAATAAAATCATTCTCTTTGGTCACAACTTCTTCGTTGTCCGGTTGGCCAAAGTAGCCGTCGTCTAGGGCCCGACGTAAAACCCTAAATTGGTGACCCCCGATGCTGCGCTCTTCGGAGTTTTGAGCATGCCATCCCTGAGCTCGGCCCGCCGCAGTTTCCTGCTCGCCTCAACTCTCGGGATCCCGTCAATCGCCGGCTGTTGACGTAAAACTTGAGCCTCACCACCACTCGTCACTGGATCCGCCTCGGAGCTGCTGTGGCCCCTGCCACCCTCCCGGCCCACCTGGATACCCCGCTATCCTGCCACGGCCCATCGTCCAGTCGTCTTCGTCCTGGCCTCAAGCTGGAAATTGGCCACCTCCACCCGTCGTACCAGCTCACTCACTGTGCACGCACGCAGGCACACGCCCGGCACCGGACCCCACGGAGCTGCGCTCGCCTCCATCTGTCCCCGCCTCAGTCGGCACGCCTCGCCCCAGTGCAGCGCTCCTGCTGGTATCCCGCCAAGCCTGCAACATGCAGCCGCCTCTGACATGATAACACTCCTCTGTCACGCGTACATTTCCTTTCTTTCCGCCTCTGACACGATAACACTCCTCTGTCACGCGTACATTTCCTCTTTTCTTTCTTTCTGCCTCTGACATGCTCTCCACCTCTGTCACGTTAACACACCTCTGACACGTTAACCCGCCTCTGTCATGCATCTCTCTCATTTCCGCTTTCTGCATTTTTGATTTTGTTTCGGCCTTTGTTGCCACGTCTCAAACAAATTTCATACACGCAGCGCTCTCACCTGTACATAATGTTGTATCATATTATTATATTTTTTGCCGTTCCGCCTTGTACATGCTGCGCTTTCCTTTCTCTTCTCTTTCTTGTTTATCGTGCTTCGCTCCTCCCGACCTCACCACTGGCGGGGGAGTACTGTAGCGACCTGACTCACTCAATTACGTCATTCTACAAACGCATGCGCAAGAAATAAAATCATTCTCTTTGGTCACAACTTCTTCGTTGTCCGGTTGGCCAAAGTAGCCGTCGTCTAGGGCCCGACGTAAAACCCTAAAGCGTCTACGAGGCCTAGCTAGCTGTAGTGTGAGCACGACTCCCACCGTTTCTGCGTTTTTCTGACGCATGGACGCGTGCTCATGGTCGCAGTGTGAGCGTGTCTATTCGCCGTACGCGCCGCCAACTATTACTTCTTTTATCAGAACGAAATGGCGCTTTTAGTGACATTTTGCATACAAATCCCCATCTACAAGTAGGGCGCAGTCACCCAGTTTCGGTGGAAGTGCGCGAGTTCGATTGGGATTCAAGTAGGAAGGGAGCGTCTCAGCTTTCTCGGACCAAGACCATTCGACTCAGCACCCCGAAGACTACAACTGGTGAAATTTGGATTTTTGCCTTAACTTCCCCTTGTGTGTATTAAAGCTTCTTCTTTGTGCGAGTTTCATAATCAAGAGTGCATAAACAAAACACGTTTATGGACTCTTGATCAAGAGTCCATAAACGTGTTATGATGTAATCACGGAATTCCGCCGTGACAAAAAAATCTTGATAATACTACCGTACCGGCGCGGTACAACACTGCATGCGTACTGGAGTAAATCGAGTAGGCAAACTCGTACTTCATGCTCCCGTTATGGGTCGAGCCATGTGCGCGCGCCAGCCATAAACAGCCGCTACTGAAGATACACTGCACTGATGATCGTACAGAGCGCCGCTTATGGAAACTTGCGTAGCTGTGCAAAGAACCCCGCCGCAGGAGGAGCCCGTTCATTGGTCGGTGGTGTGGATTATTGCAGATGGAGTACGCATAAATCCGGTATTCTTGTACGGCGCTTCTCTCCTCCCCAGCCATGGTCATAGTTACATGGCCATGTGGGGCAGGAAACTGTTGACGGGTATCGCCAGTAGGAACTACAGCAGACGACGATAGCAGGCCAAACGGCGAGTCCTTGTCAGACCTAAGCTTGTGGCGCGAGACTGAGGCGAAAGTAATATCGAGCTCCGGCAGGCAGCAGTACTTTGATCAAAAAAATCTTCTTCTTGTGTTCGAGGCAACCTATCTTGCAAGTAACTTAGTTCCAGCAAAGCCAAAACGGGAAATCCCACTAGGTTCATAAGGAGCGCTGCTGCCAAATAAGTTCGTCGCAAAGGAGTGGAACAAGTGAGACAGCTTGGACGACATTGGGGGCGCGACAGGTGAGACAGAGGGATTGAATACTAGTAGATAATTACTAGTACAGAAGTACCTATGATAATAATCGCATTGCATGCTGTGGCCCTCAGGCCCCTCACCCACGGCCACGGCAACCAATTGCTCACTGTTTAACGTTCAGATCTCGGAGTTGTGCAGTGTAACGATTAGGAACCTGCAGCAGATCTCCTGGTCAATTCCAGTTTGCAGATGTTCTACATGTACATCGTGTGGCCCGTGACAGCACTACTGATTATTACTGCATGTTCTTATTATTCTATTTCATCACTTCATGGCACATGACATGGCCGGCACAAGGAGCGGTGAGGGGGGGGGGGGGGGGGGGGGCAAACCAAACACTACTGATAACTTTGAGTTAGGACGTTACTTCTATGAAGAGGACAGCTGACTGGTTTCACCCTGATGTTGGCCTATTGAAGCGCTCACTAAGACAGTTGTGGGCAGCAGTCATATCAAGCAACTGCATTCTTTCGTACATGATGGGCCATGCTCGAAAAAAAATGGTGAATATAATTTCCTTTTAAAGAGATGCAGCAAAGAGACCGTATTTGGAATGTCTGAAGACACAGAGCCCGACAAATATAGTTATTAATATTATATCATGGTTTTCAGCACTTGTAAAAAAACCCATGTGTATTAGTGGCACTAGTACAATGTACAGTTGTGGCAAGTGAAATCCGACACTTGGCATAGGGGACTCGACAGCGCCACAAATGGACACCAATGATGTACAGTCAACTTCGCTTATAACGACACTCGGAGGGGCATCAGAAAAGTGCTAGTATTAGCGAAGTGTCGTTATACCCGAAGTCTCATTATATGTGTCACAGTTGGATGGGACTTTGCTCTGGGCATGAAAATTGTGTTGTTATTCGCGAATTGTCGTTATATCCGCAGTCGTTATTAGCCAAGTTGACTGTACTGCACTGCACCTAATTTGTACAATAGAGCCGTACGCATTCCAAACTGATCGAAAGATCACAGCGTAGATATCACACACAGTTCACAAACATGGTACACATAAGGAGTATTGGTATCCAATCCTCATTCATTTTTAAATGTTGCCAGCACCTTTTGAACCTTGACTGTGATGAGTACGAGTTTTGTCATCAGGCAGACAAAGTTGTATGTAACACATGTACAACGTATGCAGGGGCTGCAGACTGCATGGTGCAGTCCCTTATGCCAAGTGTCGGATTTCACCTTCCACAACTGTACTTGCAAGTAGTCCGCATGTGTAGACCAATCAATGTGGGAATGTCCAAGTTCAACCCATCTCCAAAATTTGGGGGTGTGGAGGGTACTAGTATCCAAAATTCTCCTGACATTTCAAGAGGGCATAAGAAACTTTTCGCAGAGTCTTGGACTTTCCGAGTGCATTTATAGCAACCTCCGTTGATTGCACTGTTGGCAGGGATTGTGGTATTGGGGAGGTGTGTAGACTGTTGTTATTGGTCCTGGGAAGATTGATGACCTGGCATTTGCTGTCATGAAGAGTCCATACCCCCACCCCCCACACCCACACACCCACACATCTGCACTCTCCATGCTGTCCCTGACAGACTGTCAAGTTGGTGTCAGCCTACAGACAGAATGCAATATAAGATAGTTACAGCCACCAAACCACACACGCAACAGGAGAGAGACTCGATTCTGTTGGATACTGTTATACATTCATGTCTCCAGGATTCATTGTCTTTTTCAGAATGATAATCTCACTATTCGGAAGAAGGCAATCTCAATAATCAACAAGATATTTACAAACTTCTAGTAGCAGTGTCCATCTGAGTCTCAGTGTTGCTACGGGCATGTGCTTAGGCTATCATCTACTGTATGAGCAGAAAATTTCGTCGGTCAATAATTTCGTCCAACTCTAAAGAATGGGAGTTCGTCCGGTTGTAAATTTCGTCCAACTCTAAAGAATGGGAGTTCGTCCGGTTGTAAATTTCGTCCATGGATCATAAGAGTGTATTGAAAAGCTGAACAAATCGATATTCGTCAGGCATTTGATTTAGTCCAAAAGCTCCTTGGACGAAAAAGACGAAATTAAATTCCAAACGAATATTTCTGCTTGTACAGTATCAGTTTAGTTTCATGATCAGCATGATCTTGTGTGTGGTTTTTAATTGTTTAATTTACAAAAGCCATGACTGTGGTGCCGCGTGACGCAACAGGAGCATGCAGCAGCCATGGTGGTGGAAGCCAGGCGCTCCGTCGACCAACTGGTCTCGGCGTGCAGGTGCCACGGCTGCATTAGCTCTCCTCGCTACCACCCTGTACTGGATATTTGTGTGTGTGCGTGTGCGCGCGCGTGTGTGTGTATGTGTGTGTGTGTGTGTGCTAAAAATTAGTGGCGGTCAATTCATCAGCCTTGCAAGCTGTTGAATAGTGTAATCCCAGCACAAGTTGCTGTGTCTAACATAGCTGTTCACTATCATCGCTTCCGCGATGGGCATGTCTGAGGTCTGAGGTGTGTGTGTGTGTGTGTGTGTGTGTGTGCGTGTGTGTGTGTGCGTGTGTGTGTGCGTGTGTGTGTGTGCGTGTGTGTGTGCGTGTGTGTGTGTGTGCGTGTGTGTGTGTGTATGCGTGTGCGTGTGTGTGTGTATGTGTGTATGTGTGTATGTGTGTATGTGTGTGTGTGTGTGTATGTGTGTGTGTGCGCGGCGTGCCTAGGTGTATACGTCGCACTGATGGAAGGCCGTGCAGCCATGCGGCCAAGCATCGCCACCATCGTGTTGCTAATAGCAACCGCACTGCTGCTGCTGCTACCACCGCCGGTACCAGCTGACGACGTCGACGAGGTCTTGCGGCAACTTGATCTAGGTACGCTCTATGTGTATTTTATATCGTTTATTGCCAGCTGTATTATCAACACATGCAGACCTTAGGCTGCATTCGATTGTAGAAACTGGATCCCGATCCCCGCCGACCAGATCACTTCGATCGGACGGATACAATCGAATGAGCACAACCGATAATCCGTTTCAAGGCCTTAGCAACCGCGTTGCTACAGCTCATCCCGTAGTATCTGTACGCGTTGTGGTAAACTCTGTACCTAGTGTACGCATATTGCGAGTTTTGAGTAGATACAAGTTGTGCTATCGAAATGAATCCGTCGAATCCGTCGAATCCGTCTCTGGGAGGTGGGTTGACTGGATCCGAATCCGTGCTCTCGGATCCGGATTCGTACAATCGAACATGCACAAATTTGGCGAATCCGGGTCCGGGGCTGATGGATTCGTACAATCGAACATGCCCTTAGTTAGGGTCTGTTGGGAATGCCCAAATAAAAATATTAAGAATAATAGTAAGAATGTGTCAGTACTCCTTTTTCAGTTTTGTGCCATTTTGTCGCACTTGCTGACTGTATAAGATCTGGTTATGTTGGTGGACAGTTAGTCATAACTCGTAATAGGTTGTCGTCCTTTTTTTCACCAAAAATATATACAGACACGAATACAAATACTTCAGAGTACATTCATCCAAGTATGTACGTACGACCAGCCAAGTAGGATATGTCATAAGTATTGAGCGTTCAATACTTATACTGCGTGTACGCACTTGTGTACATGATTGTATGCGTAGATAATATATTGGATTAATGTTTTTCGGCCTCCGTCCTCATTTCAAATTTTTGTTTTTGTTTGGTTATTTCACTGTGTAAAGTCAAACCGGACCAGGGCCCAAAAATATGATAGCGAAGAGTGTGGGGGGGGGGGGTGGAAATCACATTGTATGTATGCCATGATAATACATGTAACGTGTCAGTGAGGAGAGCATAAAGGAACAGAAGCACGGCGGACAGCACTAAGAGTAGGCAAGGTGTATCCCTGGTGTGTGTCAGTATGCACTTTGATCAGGTAAAGGCGGTATGTACCGTGAAGTACTGTTGATCCGCCCCCGCTCTAATTGCCGCCCCCTGTCGAATTTCTGCCTGTGAAGCGACTTCGGCGCATACAACGAAGTGCGATGTTGAACCGACGCATGCACTGCTGTACACAATACGTGACAGCTCGGAATGTTGAATGGATCGCAACTCCTCTGAGAATACACAGTAAAGACGCGAAGGTGACCTAAATCCGGTCGTGCCTGTAGTGACTTTGTACATGCATTTTTGTATACATAAATCATTTTTCGTAAAAATGGCCCCTGTATATATTTTGACGTGAAAGAAATAAACTTTCTCTTTGGCCCCAACTTCGTTGTGGTCTGGTTGGCCATTGTAGCCGTCATGGTTGACGTAAAACACCATAATTGGTGACCCCTGACACTGCGCTGAGTCGAAGTTGCTGTATGGATGGCATGGAGCAGGCCATCGCGCCTTCGACCTCCGCGGCCCAGATTGAGCAGGCGCCCAAGCCCACGACCTCACCAGCCCACCATCCGCCGGTCCGCCGATCCACCGATTCGCCGATCAACCGCGACGATCTCCTAGCCCGCAGCCGCCTCTGACAAGATCAAGATCCGTCCTCCTCTGTCACGCGTACGTTTTCCCTTGTTCTTTTCTCTACTTTCTTTCTCTGGACTGCCTCTGACACGTTCTTCCACCTCTGTCACGCATGTTTCCTCTTTCTCTTTCCTGCATTTTCTACCTTGTTTCGGACCTTGTGTCCACGTGTCATACAACGGTATTCCACATGCAGCGCATATTTTTTTCTCTTTGTACAGTCTTTCTCTTTGTACAGTGTATTTTTCTTTCCCGTCTTTCCGCTTTGTACGCTTCGCTCACTCTTTCCTTTCCTTTCCAAGATCTTTTTTTTTCCGTTTGGCGTTCTTCAGCAACTGCTCTCGGCTTCATCTCTGGTGGGGGTGTAATGTAGTGACTTCGTACATGCATTTTTGTATACATAAATCATTTTTCGTAAAAATGGCCCCTGTATATATTTTGACGTGAAAGAAATAAACTTTCTCTTTGGCCCCAACTTCGTTGTGGTCTGGTTGGCCATTGTAGCCGTCATGGTTGACGTAAAACACCATATGCCCACTACGCTATTCAGTATGGCTTCGTTTAAAGAGT